ATCCTAAGCAGGTTCCACACTATCAGCACAGACCCCTACGGGGGTGGGGGTGAGGCAGTCGAACCCACAAACCTTGAGATCATCACGTGAGTCAAAACGAAGAGTCAGATGCTCAACCGACTGAGCCCCCCCAGGCTCCCCTAAAACATGGTTTTAAAAGTATCAAGCTCTTTGCCTCACCACACATCCAAAAGTATACTGCTGTGTATTTCTTACTTTCTGAAACACAAATCTGGGAAAATAAACGGGAGTTTGTGGCACAGCAGCGCATATCATCCTCTATGTCCACAGATGGGAAAAGAGGTTGGGCCAAGCTGCTTCCCGTCATCCTCGCATCGTTTGCCCGGATTTCTCATGTATCACTGTGTGATATTTTATGGTTATAAAGCACCACTCTAGACTTTGATTCTCATAACTGAGGTGGACAGCTGTTACTCAGTTTATAGATAGAGAAAGAAGTCCTCTTACACAGTATTCTGAATGGGAGTAGATTTATGAACTACCTTTCTCAGAGAAAATTGCCTGCAAAAGCACAGCATTTCTTACGTGCAAAACTGTGCACTCTTCCTTGGTTCTTGTCATATTAAATCCAAGCACCTTGGCCTGACTTTTAAATCCCCCCAGCTCAGATCTGTGGTGATACCCTGCGAATCAAACCTTTGGAGTTCACCAATTTTTCTTAACAGAGTCAGGCATATCCCTAGAGGAGAAAGGTGTATGTAAAATTAAACACTGATTAGGTCGGCCACGCCTACCTCCTATGGTTTCCCCAGTTTATTGATGAGACCACACATCTAATGTATGAGAAGTGTGATTTGAACTGAATGCCATCTCTTTCGTGTCTGCTCTATATCTCCCTGTCAGCCCCACACATGCCTTGTTGAGATGTCCTGCAAAAGTGATCATCTAATATTCCCAAGAGCGCACCAGTCCATCGTTAACATGCTCCCAGAAAACAGCAGGCGAAACTATAGGTTCACAGTTCCCACTGAGAAGATGGGCTCAGGTGTCCCCAGCAACAGCCAAGGGTCAGCGACCCTCGTCCGAGAAAAATATTTTTAGTTATATTTTTTCAAGAAATAAAATTAAGGTCGGTGAGGAGGGCTTGTCTTTCTAAGACTAAATTCAGCTTTCAGTTGTACTTGTAGAATTGACAGTATTTTCTACAGTGCTTTAAGGGGACAAAAAGCTTGCAGAGAATAAAAGATGGGGATTTATTACACTGCTATTACTTCGCAGCTTTTTATTATTATATTTCCTCTTAATTCTATTTAAAAATCCATACTCTGTTTGAAAACAGATTTTTTATTAGGTTTTCAACTTATATTAATGCTTTTCACCACGTTTAAAATATCACAGCATTATATTTCACTCGTCATTTAGGATAAGGTAGAATATATTCTTTTGCAGCCTTATGCATCTATTTCATGGAAATTGCAAACACAGAAAGTAGGCAAGCATGAAATGTATGTGTTGTTCCACCTTTCAAAAAATCTAGTTTTCCTAGTACTAAACAAAATGTCATATAAATACAAATGTAAATTAGTTGAACATGGGTTTTAATAATTCACTCCCCTATTCTCTCTGAACGCCAATATTTTTAAATAAAGTCCCATAGTGAAGTTGATTAGCAGCAGTAAGACAGGCAAAGACCTAAAGATGATTGAATAAGTAGAGAATAAAGCAGGATGTAGATCCTTTGATAAAGTTTAGAGAGGTTAAGTAGAAATACAAGAAACAGAAAAATTTGATTTTGAGCTAAAGAGGCAGAACATTAAATTAGATCAATATGGATATGGGAAACAGAATGAAAGAAAACATGATATAGGAACGAGATCACTCAACATTCATCTACAAAATGAATCTTGGCATTAGCATTATAATAAGTAGAAAAGGAAACAATTTCAGGTGAATCTAACCAAAACTTACACAGCATCTAATGTAGGAAAGATATGGAGGACCCAAAGTTAAATCCAAACATGTCCCTCCCATTAAGGAGATTTCTGACCAAAAAATACTAGAGATACATAAATACTTAAAATTCAAAGAGGAGTATGTTCAGTGTTCCTAGGAATAGAATGAATAAATGTGATGTGGAAAGAATAGTTCCCTATTAACATCCATTATAAGATTAGAAAGTCATATCACGGAGTTTAAGTGTAAAAAGGAAAATGAGAATCAATCAAGCCTAACTTCTTTACTCTATAAATGTAAAAACTGAGGACTAGAGATACTAGGGACCAAAATTTCTTGAAAGACACACAGTGCTGGTAACAATACGGTCTGATGCGGGAACCCCAGTCTCAAAGCTCCATGTATCATTTTGTCACTAAAAACAGTGTTAAATGACACTTACATAATAGAACATGATAAGCTAATTTCTGATGAATGTGCATGACATTACTTTGTGTTGTTTGCACTTCTGTGAGGTTTAGGATTCCCTCCCCAGCACCACAAAAAATATTTATTGATTGTGTTAACTTCTATAAATATGTTAGAAATTCAGACACAGGGACAAATCAGTCAGGAATTTGTCAAGAGCATTGCCCCCTCACTCGCTCAAAACCATCGCACTAAGCTGGTAGCTAGAAATATAAATTGTGAAGCAAAGGAGTATTGAACATGGGGAAACAAGCCTAAAGGAAATGAAGATTGTGATGACGAAGAGCCGCGCATGATTTAATAAACAGGAAAAATAAACGAGGAGAAAACAATTCATCCCTGAACATAAATGAGATAAAAATTGACTGTTTTTCTCTCACTGAATTATGTTTGCCTGGTTATTACCTCATGTTCTTCCTTGGAGATGATTCTCCTGAGGTGGCACCGAGGTAAGGCCTGGAGGCCCCAGGAGCCTGCTTCTTCCTCCTCTGAGGTAAACTTCCCTCAGGGGTTGAAGCACCACGTGAGCCCTTGTTACCACACCCAGAGAGGAGCCATTGAAGAGCCAAGCCAGAGGCTGGAAAAGCAAGGCCAGGCCTGTTTGTCTCTGGCACTCCCCACTTTCTCCATCCTTCTCTCTCCTTCCTTGATCCAGCACCCTTGCCCTCAGTCCCCAAAGCCATCCCCAAGTCCTCTGGGATCTCTTTGAAGGGTCAATGGACTGCAATGTGAATTTACTGTTTGGGGGAGAACGAGAATTTAAGAAAAGAAACCCTAAAAAATAATCTCTCGTTATAGATGATTCTGGGATGAGAGAGAAAATTTTGACCTCCGGTAGCTGGGAGGAGTGACACTCAAACTTCTATGCTCTTATATCCCCTAAAAGAATTTGAAAGTTGGGGTGCCTGGGTGATTCAGTTGGGTAAGCATCCAACTCTTGATTTCCACTCAGGTCACGATCTAACAGTTCGTGGGTTCGAGCCCCACTGTTGGTGCAGAGCCTGCTTGGGTTTCTCTCTCTCCCTCTCTCTCTACCCCTCTCCCACTCTCTCTCTTCTTTCTCCCTCAAAATGAATAAAATAAACTCTAAAAGAAAAGAATTTTGAAAGTCTGTGTGATTTTTTAAACTGAGAGTAAACCATTTGCTTAAGTCTACATACTTGTAAAGGACATAATTTCTAGCATATGGCAAGTATTGAAATTTAAAATATGATATCACACTTTTGAATGTTTATAACAGCAAACTGATACCATTGTCAACTGAAAATTTTACTAAAAAGCACTTCTTAATGGTTAGAAAATTAACATTTCTTTCCTTAAAATTGCATTATCATTTCACTTCTCCCACAGAAAAAATTCTATGGGAAAAATATATTATTTTGTAACATATTGTTTTTCTTAAATAGTTATTATTCATTATCATGCTTTCCTGCAAATATATATTTCACATATATTATATATTTCATATATACATTATTATTACACATGTAAACATACAAATATATTTATAAATACAATAAATATTTTGTGTATGTGGTTTTCGTTTCAGAGACTAAAAAGCTCTAAATGATAAAAAGAAAATTTTTTCAGTATTACAGTTATTGTTAATACACCATTGGTCAGCATGATGTAAATGTATACTTTATGGATAATAATAAAATATTAAAGTTAAATTTTATTAGAAAGGCATTTCTTAATGAGATCTATGGAGCTTTCATTCCTCAATCAGTGCATGTAACCATGGGTAAACAATACTTATTGATAAAATGGGAGGATTTAGCATCAACTCAATTCTTACTTTTTCATTTTTATACATAACACACAAGCATTTGGTTCCATAAACAATTAGATGAGAATGAAAAGAATTTTGACATAATAACATCTCTCAGTTTATTACACTAGTTCTGAGGTCCCTGACAAAAATCATCACAGCCAACGATTCAATTTGGACCTTCTTTGTGTTGAAAGCAAAAAACTGGGATCACATTCACTTGTAAATGAATTTGTTACTAAGCAATTATAATTATTCACTTTCTTAATATCCACGCCAGTTTTTCCCCTGATACCCTTCCACCATGCCCACAGGCTTTTACATGTCAGAGCAATGCACCATCATGTGGTTCTGTGCAGGTGACGGATTTTCCCTTCTCTTGCAGAGTGGGGGAAACGAGGTGGGGAATGATGGGAGAGGGCTCTGAGCATGACCTCAGCCATACTCAACAGGTAGTCAGTCAAGGAAAAGAGTATATGGAATTTGAATATGGAGAAATAAATTCCTTTGAAATTCATGGTGTCCCTGTACCCTTTGGGAAATGTTTGTGTTGGCCCAGGGGTACTTAACATCCAGCGAGGTGACTATTGATTTATAGTGTCACTTAACACAGAAGAGGTAAAATTTGACTTTGGCTTTCTTAACCTCCCTGTTCTTTCTCTTGAGGTGGCCCTTTTGCTTTCCTTATATTTTCTGGGACCTTATATTCTTTTTGTGAAGGAAACACCTAAAACTCATTTATTTTAAAGCATGATGATTGATAATGGCCCAGGCAGTACATTTTACACTAAAATTTATGGATTTGTGTATTAAAAGGAATCAACACCTTAATATTAGATAAATGAACTTTGATGGCGGATTTCCAGGCATTCATCAAACAAGACAGAGCTTGAGCAATGATCTTCCTCTCAAGGCACTTCACACAGGAGCTTATCTGCTCAGAATCCCACGTTGACTTATTGGTTGCCTGCTGGAAACAATAGTGGTAAGTACCTGCTTCAAAATAGTAAAGACAGCTTTGTACATCATTTGACATACAATGGCCAAGGTATCACCAAAAAGTGAAGGCTTTATAAAGCAGAGGAGATTTAAGCTGAGTGAAGAACAGTGGTTCCTAAGATTTTAAGAATCATGGTACTCTTGGAAGAATCCAGATACCCATGATTTGGCCCTTTCAAACTTACAAACGGATTCGTCTACATGCCTGTGGCCATGGAGTTTAGAATCTCCACACTTTCCAAAGGGCAAATGCAGACTTGCAAGGTAGATGAGAACACAGGAGTATTTCATGCAGAAAAGCAGCACACACAAAGATCCAGACATGGTGTGTTTAATCAATTGCCACCAGGTCTGTGTAAAATGGAATGCATTACTGAGAAATGATGGTTGAAGATAATATCAAGAAAATAAGTTAAACCGGCTTAAAATTTTAAAAAAAACCTGTTTTGTTTCATTTTGTTTTTTTAAACTGGTTGTGGATATCTTTAGCTTCATTCAATGGCAGAATTACGATAATGTTCGAGAAAGATTGCTACAGTGTTCAGATAGCTCTTTAAAAAAAGACTTTAGGGAGAGCCTGGATGGCTTAGTCGGTTGAGCGTCCGACTTTCGCTTAGGTCATGATCTCGAGGTTTGTGGGTTCGAGCCCCGCGTCGGGCTCTGTGCTGACTGCCAGCTCAGAGCCTGGAGCCTGTTTCGGTCTGTGACTCCTTCTCTCTCTGACCCTCCCCTGTTCACGCTCTCTCTCTCTCCCCTAAAAATAAATAAAAACATTAAAAAAAATTTTTAAATAAAAAAAAAAAAGAAAACAACACAAACCCAAACCTGAAACCAAAGGTGAGCAAGACTTTTCTAACGTACTAATAATGTACAAATAATGTTCTCAAATATGGCTTCATTCATGTGTAAATAGAGCATTCTTTTATTTCANGAGCCTGGAGCCTGTTTCAGTCTGTGACTCCCTCTCTCTCTCTCTCTGACCCTCCCCTGCTCACGCTGTCTCTCTCTCTCTCTCTCCTAGAAATAAATAAAAACATTTTTTAAAAAATGACTTTAGGGGATACCCGCGTGGCTCAGTCAGTTAAGCATCCAATTTTGGCCTAGGTCATGATCTCAGGGTTTGTGATCCGAGCCTGTTGTCAGGCTCTGTGCTGAGAACTCAGAGCCTGGAGCCTGCCTTCAGATTCTTTGTCTCCCTCTCTCTCTCTCTCTCCCCCTCCCCCACTCACATTCTGTCTCTCTCTCTCTCTCTCTCTCTCTCTCAAAATAAACATTAAAAAAATTTTAATGACTTTGAAAAAATAATGAAAATTAAAATGAAACATGACTTTGGTTATAATCCAGTTAGAGAAGCTGGATTAAAGGGAAAATTACTGGAAGCAAAGGGGGTAGTTAAATACTCCTAAAATACGCCATGAGAGTTTGGATAATGGCACACATCATACTGTAGCCATGGAGACTATAAGGGAGGAGTGCATTCCAGAAATATTAAAAAGGTAGAATTGGCATGACTGCATACTCAAATACATGGGAGATGTGAGATAGGAGCAAAAGAAGTAGATTTTTGTTTTTTGCATCAATATCCCTATGACAACAATAGTATTTACGGAATGCCTACTGTGTATGCAACAGCATCTTAGACACTTTGCATTTATTATTGTTGATCATCACCACTACCCCGCGAGGTCCATTTTATTGTTCAATTTTGCAAGAGAAAATTGTGGCTCAAATACATTAAAAGACTTACTTAAAACCACAGAGTTAGACTGTGCCAAAGTGATAATCCAAGCCAGATTTTCCTAATTCTACAATCCACTACTCATAAAAGAGTTAAAGCTTTGGGGAATGAGAAATTACCATCTATTTATACATGGCTCGTAATTTTCAAAGAATTTATATGCCCATTTTCTCTTTAGGTCCTCAAAAAGTCCCTCGTTATGGGATGATAGAAAGGATATATTATTATTAATCTCCATTTCACAGTGGAAATGGACTTGCTCAAAGTCATACAGTTCTTAAATGCCAAGAATAATGGTGGGTCTCCATTCCAGTCCCCATCCTGTTTCTCTGCTGTATCATCTCACATTTTTCCTACCTCATAGCTACAAACTATACTCTTTATCTGAAATAGCTGGCTAGCTTGTAAATGTGAATTAGTATCAAGAGAGACCTAGTGAGAATATAGTTCAGCCTAACTCTTGGCCAACTAGTTTGATCCACGAATGAATGCCATAGGGGTGATGGACATTTAAAAGAAATCTATAGACCCTCACTCTCTCATTCTCTCTCTCTCTCTCTCTCTCTCTCTGTCTCTCTCTCTCTCTCTCTCTCTCACACACACACACACACACACGCACGCACACACCATTATGCCAACTTTTGCCATAAAGAATGTAAAACAGAGGAACAACAGAACCCAATTTTCTTAAATCCTTTCAAAAGCCCAGTTTTATTTTCAAATATCCTCAGGGACTGAGTTCACAGGCTTAAACTTCTACATGAGAAATTTAAGTTAAATGTAAGGAAGAATTTTCTGAAATCAGGAATTATAAAACACAAAAATGGCTTGCCACTAGAGATCATAGCATTTCTGTCTTTGAAAGGCTATAAAATAGTAGAGGCTGCCCTTTGCCTGCAGTGGTTTCGATATGGTTCTAAATGGAAGTAGCCTCTTTGGGAAAGTGGTGGACCAGGTGACCTTTCACAGTCTCTTTTAGTCTCTAAATTTCATTACTCTGTAATCTTATTAAAGAGATCAAATACATGCAATAATGCCCACTCATTCAGAGGTCAAGCTTCTGGAAACCTCAGGAGTTGATATATAGCCTTAAACTTAAAAGGAAAAAAATGAGAAAAAGGAAGCTCTCAAGCATGAAAAGATATTAACTATTACACTCAGATCATTATACTTATTCTACTGGAAAGGTAAAGCCACTCTCAGATCTCTTCTGGAGAACTGTGTGTAAAATAGGACACTAGACAAGGATAACAGTGCAAAAAAGAAACAAATTCCAGAGGAAAGAATAGAAGAATTCAGTTCATTTTAAAGAATCTGAGTCTTCTATATCCCAGAATCCCTTAAACATCACTGTGATAGATTACTACTCAACTATTTTTCCATAATTACCCTAAACCTGTATGAAAAGCTTGAATTATTTTAACTTTTGACTGCTTAAGAAGGCAGAGGTACATATCTTTATTTACAAAATTTTATATCTATTTATAAAAATTTACAAAAATTATTAGAGTTTGAAAATTAAGACCTTTAAAGGAGCAAGCCTAGATGCATAGAAAATTTGCTTGTATGAAAGACATCCTTTTTCAGTTATGCTGGGTAAGTATGTATGTTTTATTGTCTTATATTTTTAACAACATATTTTGAGAATCTGTTAGTAACAGGAAAAAAATCAATATAACAACAATAAGACAACTCCAAGATAATGGACCCTATTTTGGAGAGTAGCATGGCCATTCCATGGGTTACTCTGACCATCGACTTTACATCTAAATCACATTTAATGTGTTGTAGTTTGTTTTTAGATGCACATTCCTCATAAGCTCATTGTTCTTTACTTACACTTCCAACAAATTATTTATTCATATACCCACTTTTCCAAAAGAGTTCAGGTGGCTTACAGAAACAATTACAATACAACAAAATGAAAATAAAGAAATAAATCAATAAGGAATTTGGGATTTAAAAAGCAGGTGGGTAAAGTCTATTGAATTCAAGTACAGAATTAGATCGCAAACACTACACTACTATATCATGCCCTGTACCAAGAAGTGGCCAAATTGTGTTATACTTTTCTTTTTTGGCTTAATTATTTATTATCAGTTCAGCCTGACCACCAGCTCTTCTAAAAGTTGAAAATATACTTCAAAATTTCTTCTCCCTATTGTCCATGTTCGAGTTCACCAGGGAGGAGCACCCACATGGGTTTAGAAGGCAAAGGAAAAAAGAGTCCAGGGTGTATGGAAGCTATGAGCAGCCATGTGACTCTAATAACTTTCTATTGAGTTTTTGAGAATCACTTATTTTGCTGCTTCAGCTTGAAATCTTCAATAGTGACAGCCCTCATAACCTGAAAGTTCTCTAGCAGTTGTGTAAGCCTCTAACTCTCCAAACTATCTCCTTCATACTTGGACCATGTAGAGTGGCTTCTGTTTTCCTGTTCAAGTCCTGGCGGATACAGTTCCTGAGAGGCCAAAGCAGAGACAAAACCTACTAATCACGTATTTAACTCACTGTATGTATAAAACAAATAGAAACCATTTGCTGAAAAGAAACCTAGGTTGTCCTGTTACAGGACACTGAAAGAAATGTTTCCTGGAGTTCTCAGAAGGATGTATTGAAGGAGTGCTTGACAAGAGTTTTTACAATATGTACAATTGGGTCTTTCCTATAGTATTTCTCATAATGTCCCTCAGTGCAAGCTGATGGCATAAATCCAAAATGCGATTCTGTACCAGTCACTCTACAAGGGGCTGAAATAATGCAGATCAACTATGCAGTTCTCTGATGGCCTGGTTGAATCCAAGTATAAACTTTAGAAAAACTGAAAGGATAGATTTATAGTTTAACCTTAGGGAATTTTCTATAAATACTATTTCATACTATAAGAAAATATCACCGGCACCTGGGTGGCTTAGTCGGTTAAGCATCCGACTTTCGCTTAGATCATGATCTCGCGGTTCGTGGGGTCGAGCCCCGCGTCGGGCTCTGCGCTGACTGCCAGCCCAGAGCCTGGAGCCTGTTTCAGAGTCTGTGACTCCCTCTCTCTCTGACCCTCCCCTGCTCACGCTGTCTCTCTCTCTCTCCTAGAAATAAATAAAACATTAAAAAAAATTTAAAAAAAAAAAGAAAATATCACCAACAAAAAAGGAAAAAAAACAAGAATTCATGAGGCTTTAATACCAGACCATGATTTATAAACCTAGGAAAAAACTCAGCTTTAAGACCTTGGGTTC